CATTCGAATTTCGAACTCGGCCTTTACTCGGAACCACGAGCGTGTCTTCAATTTGGGTAACCGGTGGTCTAAGCAAACGCTCGCACCACAATGACCAGAGTGGTGCAGAAACAGTACGCTGAGCAGATCCCCGACTTCATCAATCACGGCGAATGGCTCTCCAGTTATTATCCCGATAAATGTTTTCATGTATTGGCCACTTGGGAGAAAAATCACCCTTCCATAACGGTGCTTCTGAGATCCTGGGATGAAATTAGTATAAAATACCTGGGTGCTGACGATGCGATGCGTTCGCGAAACGTCTGAAGAATTGTGTGAAGGCTAGAAGAGATCATTTTGAAAACCGTTGATGTATTTTGGATTGTCATCTTTTCTACAAATAATATTCATGGTTAAAATTGGTTACTGAAAGCTAGGCTCGAAATGCCAACGAAATATGTATTGATACACCAGTAATTTTGCCCCACCCTGCTCAACAGTAATATAAGACAGGGTCAGTTTTGCAATAGAGTAGCTATAAATTTGTGTTTGGAGAGGTGTTTACCACTTCCTGCAGGTCGGGTATCACGCAGCGACCTCGAGGAGATAAGATTTTATAGGCCTGCTAATGATCTGAACCGAAGAAAACGGCACCTGCACACGGCCCATTGCCACTAATTTCGTTGGAGGCTCACAAAAAGAACTGGAATCGATATTCGCTTTCACATACCAAAAGAAAAGAACCATCGTAGCTGACACTACATAGGATAGAACGTATCAGTCCTTCATATTATTGTATTGAAAACAGTTGACTAAAAGAAAATGCGCGCCTTATCGCAAGATATGGGCATCCTCTGAGTGGCTAAACTCATGGATGGAGCAGGAACATTCGAAGGAACCTGCTCACGCACCCTAAATGTTTTCCCTCCACGTCTAGGGATAATTGCCCGTTATGCCTTGCCACCCTACTCTCCGGAAACTTGGCCCGAAAACTCGAAATTCATTGACGACCAGGTAAAAAACCAACCAAAAAAATAACGCGAGAATATGCGATAGTATCTGCAATCGCGAAATTCGACTGGGCAAAAGTAAAGCAATACCCATTGGAATAGTTAGCAAGAGCCGCCATAACATAATAAGACAATCTAAACAAGAGGACAAAAAGGCAAAGATTAAGACCACCCGTTCATAGCTGCGCTAGAGTAGTGCGATTCGCGATCCAGGCGAGAGAAAGCTTGTATTGAGCTGGAACCACGAAGACGTTGGTACGATTTGGCGATCCTGGCCATTCGGGCACAGGGGTACAGATGCGAACGAATGGAGAGAAGTCCCGCAAGATGAGCGTATTCTACGTATATACGATTATACGCATTTACGATTTGGAGAGTAGGCTATTTGTGATTTAGCTGTGAGCCTGAGTACTGCTTATTAGTGATGAAGATGCTATACGTCGAGCGTGATCACACCATCTTCAATCATATCAAGATGGTTGGCGCGTGCGCGTTTGTTGTTTCCAAAATCACCGAAAATGTCGAGTCTTGGAACGCTTATCGCCAAAGCGCTCGCAAGCGAGCTGTAACGGCGCCTCCCACAGACCTGTTCATAGCTCGCCACGATGCCAAATTAGCGATTTGACTGAGAGAAAAGTGGTTTCGATCTGAAATTTTGCCGATTTGCAACAAAGCGATTTCGCGTCTGTGAACTATGTCTGAAAAAGAGGAGCGACTTGATGAGATTGACTCGCCATGACGCGTTCGACGATGGATATGTCGACGAACTTCATTCGATAAGTCATAATCCCTTACTTCAGCGTCGCTGAAATCCCCAATTCGCAAAATCGATAAAATCGTAAGCTATGAACGCTGCCCTGAGCAGCTCGAAGCGGCCATGCATTCCCACCCACAAACGTCAGGTAGTTAATCACTATCTTTTGTTTCGTTGAAAGTTATTCCTTATCATGACGCAAACAGTGCAAGAACTATTTTCCAAGACAATGATCGTTGGTTCTTGATCAAGCGGAAAATTGCTGCCAGAAGTTCTAAGGTACCGATTATAAGTGCGTAATAAGTAAATGCAAGATAAGTGCTAAGGCGAGTAAAATGTCACGAATTCTACTTTCATTTAAGCGCATAGATTTCAATACGACTTGACCTAAGCAATGACTTGCTGTAGCCGATGAACAATAATTCATTGTTTCCATCCTCCTAAAGTAAATACCATTTGACCGACCCCGTGAACATGGAAGGCTTGGTGGGCTGAAGGCGCTGATCAAGCATATGATACCCAGACCGTGCTCAGGGTAAGCGCTGCCAATAACCACTACACCACCTCCGCTCTCAGTAAATGTTGCCCTACTTGGGTTTTCCGATGCTTCCATTTGTAACCAAACTGGTCTTCACCCCATGCCTCATCTATGCGCGCATAACAACAATAATAAATTAAAAAGCGAAAGCAATAGTTATTAAATATGAATATAAAACATTGAGCACTCCATCGCAAGAATGCGAATGTCACAAGTGTTTGGAGAGGGGGAGGGGCATTGCGGCAAGTGTGCTAGAATCGACAACAGTAACCCGATTTTTGGAGGGGAAGAAAGCAACTGTATAAATGAACCATTTTGTTCAAACAACAAAAAGACCGAGCGGGTATGAAGATGAGAAGATGATTGTCTGTGGTGATTTGGAGTGCCTTAAGGCATCGCGCCGAAATGCCGATTCCCTTCTTTAACTACACATGAGCTCAAATCAGTAAATAATTAAAATAGAGTACAACGAAACCAGTAAAATTATCCGACTAAATATGTAAATAGATAATAAAAACACAAAATAGAAATATAAGAATCTCTAGTCGGAGCCTGAGTGATTGACCTCAATGCGGCCTAACATAATTGCCACAGGGGCAGCTACAGAGTTACTCTCACCGTGTTCTCATCGGTCAGTGGCCTCTGTCATTGCCGATGGGGTCAGAGCATTGCGCCTCGAGGGTAACAAGGTGGTTGGTCGTAGAGCCATCATGAGAAACTAGTTGATCGGCAAACTACACGAGTATATATTACTCAATCGGAATCTTTCCGTTCTGGTTCTGTTTTCAAGTAAAAATGAGCCTTAACTACAACGAATCGCAAAACCATTCCCAGCTTTCTGGAGGGCCATCGGTGAGTCTCTTCCAAATATTTATTTATTGATTCATATATGCTAAAAAAACAGTGTGAGCGCAGTTTCAGAGATTTTGATGTGTACGCAAAATCGCATCTTAAAATTAGTATGATTTTTTTGGACGATTTGATGATCAGTTTTCTTTTCATTTCCTTTTTGGTAGTGTCATTGATTTTCTGTTATTATTCGTTTAAGTTTTCAAAATATTTCTGTGTTATCTTATATTGGAAAAAGGAGCAAAAACTTATGTACTGTCACAGTAAAAAAGAACGTCGAGAAAGCTACTATTAAATTCATTATTAGTCAATAAGTTTGAGTATTATCTAATGATTGTTCTGTGTAAGAAATATGTTTTACATTCCTTGGGGAATTTTTTTGAGATATAATTGGTATGTGCACAGCATAAATGAATCTTATTTTTTGATGTATTATTGGATATTTTTAAGATTACTTTGGTGCTCCTTTCCATCTATTATCGTGCAACCAGCGTTTCTGTGAAAATCGAATTTCTTTGTGGAGAAATATATTAATTCCTTCCTACACCCGAGGAATTGTCTTTTAACCATTTGCGGAAGCTTGATAATTGCACCTCCGTAGTTTTGTGTCATCTGTTGATCAGTTGGCGACTAACTATCAAAAATTTATAATAGTATGCCCATGGTTTTGATTATATACTGTGTCAAAAAAGTAACTGATGAGTTCGTAACTAATAAAATGCTGAGAGAAAAAATCAATTAGCCGTTACTCTCCTTCTCTGCGTGGTGGGTGTTGCTGCACATGATGCTAGCCTGCGCGGTCCGCATGGGTTAAATTCAAAATCCGCAAAACAGCCGATTGAGTCGTTTCAGTATGGGAAGTACCCGACTTCGACTGTAGAGCGTAGTGTTTTTTTGCCAGTTTTTACTGGTTCGACGCGTGCGTTGATGGCCGCTTGTAACGGTGCATTTATGGACATCTAACATTCTCTACAGGCTCCGTTGCAATGATACACAGGTTGTCTGCGTATTCGATTGTCCCTGCTGTACTGCTCTGTGCGTGTCTGTTTTTTCGTCCTTTAACGATTCACTATCTCTCAGTCTGGTGTGCGGTCGGCAGGAGGCTACAAGCGAAGGTAGAGTCCTGTATTGCTTGTTTATAGTCTGTCAAAATCCCGGCGGTGTTACGAATTGCTTCTCCTTTCTTATCGTGGAGAGTCAGTTTGCGTGCCGCCTTCCATATGAACCATTCACTCTTTCGATGAATTTCACGCATTGAATTTGCATGAAAGAAATCAAATGGTCCAAAAAATTCAGGTTACAGCCAATTGCCTTAAAATTTGTGAAATTGAACCAAACGCGTGATTTGAGCCCAAGTTTCTTACTGAACTAACTTAGCCTTTATCGCCAGGACTGTGAAGTAGCTGGCAAAGGTTGGTACAACCCTTCACTTTTCGGTGATACGGTCTGCTAATGTGGCTTAGAAGCTTCTGTCAACGTCTTTTCAAGGATACTGTAAGTCCTTACTTTTCGCTCCATATGTTTACAGCTCACTCATTTCAGGAACCTCTGAGAACAATGATCATGTGCCATCGATATTATCTAGCCAAGAGAAAGTGGATTTCCTAAGAAGTAAGTTGGCTGCTCTGATCGATTACGGTAATAACTACGGTACTTCAATTCAGAATGTTGCGCGTCACCAATTCTTCGTTTTATTCTGCATCTGTTATCGGATCGACGTCAGGAATCACTGTGTTCGTGGTACGGTGGGCCGTTTGGTGTGAAGATATGGAACACACGCAAATTTACCGAGTCGTACAATGCTGCCATGGGAACAAAGGTGAGTTTCTAGCTGGTTGCATCCACTTAATTTAGCGGGTGCGCGGTCGCGAAGCGGTTTTATGGATAGATTGCTATGCGCTGCAACCGTTTTTCGTTCATTTTGAGAATTCTGGTCGAGATTTGTTTCAGATGAACTTCACGAATATTTCAAGAGCACTACAGGCCTGTGAACATATAACTATGGCGGCAGTTCGGCTGTGGAAACGATTGAAACAGGGCGAATATTCGTTCTTCCCAACTACACCGGTCATGGGTCAGTTCAAAGATTTTTCTTCCGCTCCCTATTCCAATAATCTTCTTCTACTATTTAGGCTCCCTCAGATACCGCTTTCGGCCATGCCTCGCGACGTTCCAACACAGTTTCCATTTGAGCGAAGAGGGATCGTGAAAAGTTCGCAGTCATGCCCAGGTGCAGGATACGGTAAGATCATGAACATCTAAAGCGAAGCTTGAGGATTATCTAGAATATTGCTATTTCAGAACAGTCCACCCCTGCTCACTACTACGATCGAGTGTCCTACCGTACACCTCCATGTTCTGGAAGTCGAAGTCACCTAACTCGTTTTCAACCTTATCTGACTCCTTGTTCTACCATACCTTCACCTCGCCTCACCTCACTTTCCTACGTTTTCCAGCTCCATCGGTGTCCCCTCAGTCATATGCATAGCCCGAAAATGGCTTCCTGAGACGTTCTATCGAATCTCCGGAATCTTCGGGTACCATGCTTCCATTCTCACACCTCACCGTCGACAACTCATCATCTTCTCCGACTCTTCAGTTCGAATGCGATTCTTTGTTGCCACAAGCCGTACAGTCCGCATCTTTAACTGAGCCCGCCCCGCAACCTCGTGCTGGAACTCTACCCACAGTCAGTGAATCTCTGAACAACTCCACACAGGAAAATAAACTTGCTGAGCGTAGGATCTCTTCAGTAAGTCATCAATTTGAATGGTATCAAATTATCAGTAAAATTGTCCATAATGAAACCTTCAGCACATTTCGATCAGTCCATCTTGACGAGTTTCTCCTCCCTTTGGAAGGAGCTCCGCATGTTCGCAACCTCCAGCTCTCCTGCTGCGCCGAACGAGCACAAGGGCTATCGAATCAGACCTGGGTCCATCGCGACTGGTCTCAAGCCATTACAGAGATTTAGGAGTGCAGAGTTACATTCAGATATTAGTAATTATTCAGCTAAATAATTCGTAATTCCCATATTTTTTAGGACATATTTGGCAACACATCCTCAATTCGGCTATGATCTATCAATCGACGTAGACCGAGTCTTCCTGTATACATTAAATTCTTTCGTTTTTTTCTCGTATGGCCAGGCGTTTTCTTCGCCTAGTTCCTGTCTTTTTCTGCCCTCACGCTGGCATTTTCTTTATACCTGTGTGTTCGTCTGATGACCTGTGTTTGCTTTACACCTGTGTCTTCTTATACTTGCTGTTTTATTCGGTTGGACATATTTATGATTAAACGATTGTATTTTGAAATTACGTGATCTAGGTTAATAGCTTAGCGAATAAACCTTAAAAATCCTAATATCCCAGCAGGTGGATTACAGTTAAAGCTTTCAGATTGACAAGAATGTATGAGCTTGTACTAAGTGTCTTTCACCAGCTAAAGAATATTGCAGTATACAATTATATACAGGGGGGGGGGGCCAGAAAAATAGGTCACTTTGCCGTATGGCGCATATCATCAAACTTATCGTCGCAAAGGATGCCGACGGTTATTGGGAGTTATACAGCAACTATTCCGTTAGATGTCCCCCCCCATAGCAGAATCAGGCACCAGTTCGCTGGTTCACCGGTCTACCAGATATGAATCATCTGTCATCACCGCTCGAGATTAAGGAGGCCAAATATTAAATCGCTTCCATTCTTGAAGCTGCTACATAAATTCTTCATTGGAATAACTAGCTGAATGACCGTAGAGACACTTAGGTGACTATGCAAAATGGGTTTTGACCAGGTTCAGCAGATCGTCGCATCTCTATGTTTCTCAACGACCGTCGTACGGCAACAGGTTTTCGTGGGAAAATCTTCCTGGTGTCGTCGGTTTAGAAGGCCACTATGCAATGTTTTGATATAATACAATGTGCCTCTTCAATATGCGAATGAGCTCATTCGGTTTGGTTTTGGGCCAAGTGTAATTAATTCTGTTTGAATGCGAGTAGGTGACTCTTTTTTGGCCCCCCCCTGTAAATTATAATTGCATATATAATTGTTCAATGGTTAGTGGGGAGCCAAAAACTGTCACTCCCCTTCACATCTGAAAACGGTGAAAGCAGTTACACTTTCAACAACAAGAAAATGATACAGTTCTGAAATCGGAGTACTGATGTTCAATCCTAGAAAACAAACTTTGTATTAGTTTCATTTACATTTACTTCATAGTAGCCTTCCACGAAGATCTATCCGAAGATTTTCCAACGTGAACATAGCGTACCCTTCGAACTCAACGTCATCGACGGATCGTGGATCATTACGACACTATCTGAAACACTGATCAGGAAGGAACTTGCATATTCCGAGCTACCGTCCATAGAAAACCACTCACCACTCAACCGAACTAAGGAATTATGTGGTAGCTTCAAGCTGGAGCGATTACTGTGGGCTTCCTTGAGCTCGACGATGATGGCGGATCATGTCATATTCTGAGAAATGCGAAGACTGTGAAGGAGGCCCTGCTCCTGCTCATGGTGTAGGAGAGGGGAGGGGAGGAGGGGTAGACATCCAGACAAATACAAAAATTTACGGACGGAGTTTTAGTTTGAGAAAGAACTAAACTCATGAAGACTACAATCCATGGACAGTCGAAGGAAGGTCGCGCGGCGCGTGCGGGGCATGGAAAGAGTGCGCCTGGGACGGCAATATACCAAGCAACGCAATGAAAGAATGGGGATCAAAGCGTTCTATTCGGAGATTAGAGACAAAACAATCGATAGAATATGAAATGGGAGAAGTATGGGATGTTAGCGTAATGGTTCAAAAGGTCAAAAGGAGTATTCAGTGACAGAGATTCAGTTCAGTATTACGTGAACCCAGTGGAAACGTTGCATCCGCCGGCATTTGTGACAGATGTCCAGCGGAAGTTTGAAAGCATGGCAGTCCTGTCTTTTTTCGAATTGCTTACCAAGACAAATGCAATTTTTTTGTTCTTTTCGTTCTTATCGTAAACGAGGGGTCTCAAACCAGTGACTTATGGATGAGATAGAATTTTTTTGGTTCCATATTCGAGCAAATCCGTACATGGAAATGAATTGAAGGTGCCAATGTATGAACTGGACGGAAATCTATACTCTAGCATGACGTTTGTCAGTCTTTCGGAAATTTTAACTACCACTTTCTATTTAAAGGCACAACCCAGGCAGAGCAGATGTGAATCCTTCTCTTAGGTCTGTAGTATGGCCCCTAGAGGACAATCACAAATGTGGCGTTTCCGTGCACACGTGCGTGCACTGGAAACGAATCGAAAAGAGCGCTACGGGCCTTGCAAAGTAAGGCTGATGAAAGCTGCAGAGTTATTCTGCTCTTATATCAGGCTGTGGTCTGGCTCTCCTCATCTGCAACGCTCTCTCGTTTATACTCTTCTTCACCGACAGTTTAGTCTTTTCGTTCCTTAGCACAACGATAGTAAGTCATGAGCTGAGCTCAACCTAAGCGTTTCAAGCGGATTCTTTTCTTTTTTTCTTTTATTGTCGCCCATTCGCACCAGTACATTCGCTCCGTGGCAGAGCCATCAACAATGGGTCTGGCATGCTTTAAATATTTCAGTCTGAAACTTTCGCTATTTCTCAAGTGTTTTTCACAAGTACGAGGGTACAGGTTGTGCGCGTACTTTGCCATTTTCTGAAACTTCGTCTAAAGGCGTGGACAATAATGGTTTTCAATAATGGAGGCGAAGGCGTCGGGTGGGTATGTGCATTAATTTCATTTTTTGCTTTTGAAAGTTTGCACTCCTGAGCACCGCACGCGAAATGCGAGAATGGTAAATGTTAAAGGATGGAAGTGAGCACATGACGCTAATGCGATCACTTTGAAAGTGCAGCAGTACAGGCTCACTCAACCTTGAGCGATCAGGAAGTGAATGTGAATCTCAGTCCATGAAATTCATAAGCGGACGATGGCTGTCCTAGGTGGACGACATAGCGGAAAAGGGCGCGAAAACCAAGAGAACTATCAGAAACTAAAAATGGACGTTTGTTTGCTGTTGATTTGACTCACAATAGCGCGAAGGGGGCCAACCAAAAAAGTCTTTGAATCGTTTGCTCTACAGCCGACATCTTTTAACAAGAACATTGCTATGTGAAATAACTTATATTCCTAGTGCAAACTAGAAGGCCCGATGGCTGTGCATGAAATGCGTTTTCAAAATGAAAGGCGAACGGTTGCCATAACTGCAACAAAGAAGGGCGGCGGGTATCGGGGGTAATGGGGTGAAGACGGTACGGTTTTTGGGGTTTCTCTTTCGTCATCGCTGACTATGCTACCAGTGAAGCATGTATTTTCTCAGCGAGTCGCACGCTTTTTCATTGAATCTACTGGCCAGGCTAGAACAAACCGAGGTTAGACCGCGGAAAACTACTCGGTGGGAAACGGAAGGCTGTTAGCAAAGGTTCACGGAACTCGCCCTTCACGGTTCTCGAAAGATGCGCAGACAAGAATTCTGAGGACCTTGCTAGTGCCCGTTGGGTCGCATGTGTGGTAGTCTGAATGCTATGGCGCTATAGAAAGTGGGGTGGCGCACGCCCAGCCTTTCACGCATGTTCAAGAAAACTGCCTCATCCATCCCTAGATTGCGCTAGACTCCCCCTGTGTACGAATTCCCTGATTATCGTCGCAGCTATATAGTAGGGGGAGCAGTCCACTTACATACATTTCTGTTCAAAAAGATGCGGCCAGCGTGCTCACCCTACTTGTACTTACACCAAAATTCGCCGTTTGCAGCGACACAGTGTGGTACGGAGCCATAGGTAGCGCCATGCTTTAACGGGAATGCTGGCTGATCTGCGCGCTGATTCTACTATCAAACTATAGCCACGTTACGAAATGTTTTAGCAAATAATTCTTAGGGTCGGATGGAGCGTTCCTCTTGCATTTTTCCTTGCCCTGCTCTTTTTCTGGCGCATTCCACACGGACTCTTCTGCCAACCTGTTAACCAACTTCATTCTGGGTCTCTGCCTTATTGTTAGAGTGAGCAGAGTGGCTGTGAGTGACTCGTTATTAAATACTTTAGGTGTTTTTGGGTGAAAGCTTATCTATATTTCTTAGAGACAAAATAGCACTCGCTAGCTTTAACGACCTCTCGAAGTCCTTGGCTGAAGGCCTATTCTGTTCTTCTAGATCTGCGTTTTTGCATGATGCGAACGTAATATTGCAGAAATAGCCTACAGCAAGAAAAAGAGAGAAGAACACCACCCACGCACCAGAACACGCTCAATCAAAGAAGCTCGCTCATTCAATGACGGACCGTGCCAAGCATGGGAGTGTGGAAGAGGAGGTATTAGCGAAGAGAGCGACAACGGAACGTCGCGCCCACCAAGACAACACTGGAAGCTTGCAGCTGCGGCAGACTTACGTTGCATGCCTCGCGCTTTTGTCGGGTGATTTCCGTACACCGAGGACTAAATTGCAATCTTCCGTTCAAGGATAATCCTACAGCCGAGGGTGACCTTTCACACGGCTTGCTGACTGGATTGCTGCATTCAAACCGTGGACTTATCAGTGAATATCATTTAAGACACTGTCGAGAAAAGGAAGCAGACTGTGCACGAAGATTGTCGAAAATTGAACAACTTTGATGAGTTGGCCGAATGGCAAAAATGGAACACGGAATCGTTTGCTGAGATAAATTGACAGCGTGTTATGCTTTTTAAGGTTAGCTTTTCCGAAGCCGTGCGTTGCCGTCGTCGCTCTTGGAAAGGCTGCCAAAATAATATTTAGAGGTGCATAGTGTGACTGTATGAACGGAAATTGGTGCGCTTGCAAGTGCTGCTATATACACGCACCCGAGCTAGAAATAACTATATGTAGTGATAGTGCCACTGGTCAGGCCTCTAGCACCAGTGATTAGGCACAGAGTTACATGGGAGAAATAGAGAACATAGTCACTACGTTTATAGTGGGATATCGACCATGCTGCGCGTTAGGCTTCAAAAAGTATTGAAGCGACGCCGAACGTCAATCTTTTGTGCATTTAGGCGAAATTTCGTAGAGAAGACAAGAACTTGTGTGTTGGAGTGATTTCAGACGATCAAACTGTGTAATAAAGCAAATCTTGTGAGTTATCTAGGAGGTTCACTGTTCCCATGAATTTGAAAGAAAAGTTGATTTGCAACTAAAACGAATTATGAAAATTTGCCGTTTTCGGAGAAACTCACGAAAAAATGTGCGGACAACATGGCCTTTATAATCGATCGATTTTGTAATGAGGGTAAGCGTTCTTCAAGGAAGAGTCGGCGAAAGGCAGTTGTTCAAGAATGTTCTAGCAGTTGAAAGCAAAAAGACGCTTGTGCACAAGAACTGCGACCAATCGGAGACTTTTTGAACGGCGTGACATTCACTGAAGTTGGGACTCAGAGGAGAAAGGGTTGAAATTTTCTTTAATTTTCATGGTTTCTATTAAAATTTTAAATTTGAAGAAAAATGTTTGACCTTTCAAATGGAAGAGGTGGGCATTTTGATGGAATCTGAATTGTCCTGCTTAATGGAAGGAAAGTGACAGTGCTGAGATGAGCGAGTACTGTTTCAATTGAGCCTGTTAAGTTTCTGAAAACTTTTTTTTGGCCGGGTCATGGAAAGAGATTCCAATCCAACTGCAATTTTGAAAATATTACCTGAAGAGAATTACACTATTGGAAAATCCAATGGTTCGTCGGGCGTCGTTTTCGACAGGACATAGAGCATGGATTTTGCGCTCTAGTTAGAAGCACGGGCGACCGCAGCCGTGCTTCTATAGAGCGAGTAAGGAAAGTAATCGGGCGTGCACATATCGATAGACCGTGGAATTTAAACAACGACCTTTGAAAAATTCGGGGCCTCACGCACTATGGAACAATCCTGCATGACATTTTTAATGTTTTATCATTCCCGAGTACATTTTTATGGTTAATCTCGCACAATAATAATTAGGCGCTTCCTACCGAAGGAACAGCGAGGTGAGCGGTCGGAGTATAGGGCATCGAAAGATCGTGCAACTAAGGCCTGTGGGGATACAAAACATTGAATTTTTGTACATCGGTAGGGCCCGGCTGTACATCCCCGTATGGATCAGAATCGCAACTAATGCTTGCCGTCATTCTAATAGAGATGAATGGCATGCGCGCACCCAAAAAGAGAGCGATCATTGGGCAGTTTTATCTGAACGATTGTTTACAAAACGCTGAATTTCAAATTTTTTCAACACAAAAGTTCTTGCAGTAATTGGTAATACTTCCAAACTGCAAGAAAAACTGCCCTGTCAGGTGTGAACCGTCACATGGGACCGATTTCGAAAAATTTTACGACCCCCTTCCTCCATCCACAGGAGCCTCCGATAGACGAACCCTCCCCTGCAACCTTCTCACGGCTCGCTTCAGTGGGCTCATTCCTATAAGCATTTGATTCTGGACTAGTCCATCACAACCAAACTCTGCCCACAATTTTTCTCTCCAAAATTACCGTCGAGCGGGCAGGGAGGGGGGCTAACATTAATCGCTAGACGCAACAATTGCAACCCCCGCAACTCTCGTTGAACGTTGGTCCACACGACAACGGTTCACCCCCCTGCCTCCTGTGCCTATGGTTCTTTTGAACAGATAGCGTGTTCGACCTTACAAAGGCGCAAAACGGGCGGCCGGTTGAGTATGTTTAAAGGGCGCTTTTTGTTTGTGTAAAAGATTTGTGCTCAGTCTCAGCGTTCTTTAACCACTTTTTAACCCCTTTATCCTCACTCGTTTACCGGATACGAGACGCGGTTAAACATGTTTAAACCAGTAAATGGAGAAAAGGCCACGTCGAAATGATTGGCGGTAGAGCATCATTATTCACAAAAGATCCGCTTGTCGGTCAATCATTCTTACCAATCAGACATATATGTGTTTCATTTCAACGGCTCAAATTGTGTCAACATCATGTTCATTCATCTTCACAAGGTTTTTTGCTTTCCGAACCTTTTTTTCAGTTTCACAGAATTTTATGATCAGATTTGGTGTCGTTTCGCTTGAAATTATTTCATCTGGTAAAAGCATTCATGATTCATACATGTCGGTGACTGTTGAATTTTGGGTCGTCAGGACACATCATTCGACCGTGAGCCTTAGCGGTTTACGTTTTGTAGTGATGTCTGGGAGCTCCACAAGTGGACACTTATCAAGCAGCAACAGGATCATCTCATAGTTTCTTTATTTCTTCACAAGGCTTCAGTCAATAATACACGAAAGTTGTGTGCTTTGCACAAGCTACGCTCATCACCTGTGGCTTGGACAGAAGCCTTGTGTAACCAGATTTTCGTCGTTGGGAAGGTACATGAATATGAGAGTGAGGGCCCTATCACCAAATAAGAAGGGTATAATGTTAGAATTCAAACCACTGTGAAATATTCTTTTTGGAATGAGACAAGCCCGCGAGAGAGGCTGTCTTTGATTCCTCAAAGTTTCCTGCCCCCTTCTACGCTTGGAATTTCACAAGAACTGCGAAACACGAATGCCTGTGGTTGATAAGCAAGCAGTACACTAGGCAAGACCTTCGCCACTTTTGAGTCGCTGAGAGATGATGGGACCACTCTTTAGGTATAGAAAAGACTGGTTTTTGAACCCGTCCAGACTCCTGGATTGAATCGAAGTCGGGAACCATGTATGCTATGATAGCGCTGCTGCTTACCAATTGATCTATGTGATTAGGAAAGTTGTGTGTAATTCATGTTTCTTTGGTCTGTATTTTCTAACATACAGTCGAGATCCGTAAGTTGGGGTGGGTGTGTCACCGGAAGTGACGTGGACTTGATAGAGGTTGCGTAGGCAAGTCGCTGCCAGCATGCTTTGCTGAGATCTCGCGATATACAGGGGTGGCCAAAAAAAGAGACACTTTGCCCATGGCGCACATCATCGAACATTCAGTCGCACAGGCAGACGATTTTAATGAAAGTTTTACGGCGGAATATTCCTTAGGTGTTCCACCGTAAACAGAAGCAGGCCCTCCTTCACTTCCTCCGCTGTCTTTAGGACACAACGTCATCTGCCGCCACCGTCGAGCTCAACGAGGCTTACCGTAATCGCTCCGGCCTGTAGCTGCTACGTAATTTCTTCAACGGATTGACTTTTTTAATAGCTTCCCAAATACTTTTGCTGTGACTATGCATCGTTTTTGACCAGTGTTTCAGGGACATCGGAACGGCCTATGGTACCTCGACGCCTCGTTGAGCTCGTACCGTGAACCATGTTTCCGTGGGAAAATCTTCCAACGCCGTCGGGGTAGAAGGGTGTCATGTAAATTTAGATAGAATAGAATGTGTTCTTTAATACTTAGTTGGAGGCATTCGATTTGGTCCTGGAAAAGTGTGGTAAATGGTGTCTGAAATGTGGGGTTAAGTGTCTCTTTTTTTGGCCACCCCTGTATATTAGAAGCACCTTGTCCACATAGATTCTATCAAGTACACGTCACTTCCGGTGGCACGCCTACCCCAACTTACGGATTTCGGGTATTTGTACCGCATACTTTGTTGCGATCTTTCGTCAAAATTTGTCCACATTTTGAATAAACTATTGTTTGAGTGTAGTCAAAAAGTATCTTGTTCTTATCATAAGTTCGAAATTGTACCCTAGAATTCACCTCAATCGTAAACGCATGAGATTGAATCTAAGCCTAAGTGGGACTGTTGGAATGCTAAATTTATAGAATGCGCGTCTACTGGCCTGCAGAACATACTCGAATATGGAGCCGTCGTCCTTTTGGAAAGCGGATATTTTTCGTCCTTCTTTTAGTAGTATCCTTATCGAGTGTTCTTATATGCATTCATCAAGTATTATATTGGAAGCACTCCTATAAAATCGTCAACAGTACCAATATTACTTCGAGTAGGTGAGTTTCCCGTTCATCTTTTGAACACCAAAACTTAATACTGGGTTGTTATAATGTGATATAAATCCTTATAAAAAATTGTAAGAGAAGTTCAACAGCTTACATCTACACTTTACTAAAGTGCAGTCGGTAGCAGGCTTTTCGAATCCAGCTCCGAACTGTGCATCACGGTTCGAATGATGTACCATGCTCAACACTGGTTGAGTGGCAGAATCTCGTATGGGCATGAGATAGCCAGAGGGGATGGAAACCCGTGAAAGTGGCGAAATTTAGCGTGCGAACGAGAGGAACTTCCACCACTTCCGAACACTGTCGAGACACTGGTACATCGTTCGAGTCCGGTTGTACACAGCGTGGAACCGCGTGGTACACAGTTCGATTCGCTGGTGCAACGTCTTACCGTACGTCGTACCCCGCGACTACCATATGCGAATTCGCATAGATTCGCGAGAGTCTGACACCTCAGCGTCACTTGAGTGACCGCTTGGTGACGTGGATATGTAATGTGGTGACGCACTACAGAAGTCGACGGCCACTGTTGGCAATCAAATCACTACTAATATAAAAGCGCTGATCGTCTGTTCGTTGTCGTCTGTCGTCTCGTCCTGTGATGTCTGTTACAAATTTCCTTAGCTTCTCGGATCCCGCCTGAGGGCGGTCAGTGTTGGATGGGTGGGCAAGGGTCATCACGAAGTACAATACACACATCAAGTAGGCGAGACCGCAACAGAGGCGTGCGTGCGTGAAATTGAACTGTACGGCACACCAAGGTTTCAATTTTCGTGCCAACGACCTTCGAAACGGCGAAACAAGTGGGTTAGGTGTGCATTGGTAGTAACATCGAACTAGGAGACCCACCCCGTGGGCGGGGCAGTTCTCTAAAAAAGCGCGCTTATAAAAAATTTAATAACTCGATTTGGCGAAGCCTAACAGAGCAGAATACAATTTGTGTAAGGGAGAATGTCTAAGGTGTTATGCCGCATGACATGACGTGGGCGGAGGCCTGCCAGAATGCGCGGGGCGGCGCTCTGAAAGTGTACAGGGCATTTTCTTACAGCCCTCTAATTCCGGCTCGGGGAAGTCCTAAGAGCCCGAAAACGGTGACAGAGGTGGGGTGGGAGAGTGGAGTTTAACTGTCATTGTGGGGCGGGGCCTGACCAAAGTGGCGCGTTTGGCGACTGAAATTCATACTGCGGCTCGTGAGCTGCCGGAGGCTGGAAAGGTGGATAGGGTGGGTGAGGAGTGGAGGTCAACGGCCAATGGTGGGCGGACAATGACCAAAGTGGGCGGAGTTTGCGACGAAACTTCATAGGCTCGGCTCAGAAGTCAGGAGGCTGGGAAAAAGGGCGTGAGGTCGCGAAAGGAAAGGAGGTCAATGCTATTAGTGGTAGAGCACGCACTAGTGGGAGTTTTGCCAAAGTGTCGCAATTTCGGTGCAAGAGGTCTAGAGATAACGGGGAAAACGGGTTTAGAGGTTGGTGAGGGAAAAGAGGCTCACTGCTATTATGGTAAGCACGCCACCTGAAGTGGCGGAAGTTTGCCAAAGTGTCGTAATTTGGTCGAGAGGTCCAGAGCCCGGTGAAGAAGGGGTAGAGGTCGCGAACAGAAGGGAGCCAAATGTTTCTATTGGTGGGCAAGGGCACGCCACGAAGTAGACGAGTTCGCCACGAGATTTTATTGTCGGGCCGAGGACGCGAGAAAAAGAGGAATAATGGTTGACGAAGAAGAGCTGGATAGAATTTAGCGAGAATTCAGATTTCGTATTGTATCAAGGCGCAAATTTTGAAAATTTCGTCGCACATCAAAATTCGGCCACAGCTCTTGTGTTGCGCGCGCATGCGTGCGGCGCCAACTGCGTGCTTCAATTAGACGCTCAGCGCTTCAATCAAATCGAGTCAAACTCCTAGGATCACGCCACCTTTTTCATATCTCTCTGCGTCGCAATTGTTCTTGGCTGCTATCTTGCTTTACCTTTCGCGCTATTACATGAATTTCCCATCATCTGGGCTGCTTCTTGCTTTCTGTGGCCCGAGGCTTAGACAGTTTCTAAGATGTGCTTATATATCTTGTGTTTTTCACTATTTTCTTTCCTTTATTCTCCTTTTGCTGTCAGTCTCCCATCGCTGCTTTCATATTGGAGTGGGCTTATCACATCAATTCAATCCAAATCCTTGCCTTTAACGACGGCATCTTCAGACATCGGGTCACCTCTGCTGGTCGTTTGGCATAGCGTCAATAGCTAGTAGGAGCACACTCATGATTCCTTTTACGCAATTGCATTCGTGGGATAAAAGTGAAGGAAACTTTCTTAGAGCTTCTCACATAATGGTTGTGAATAATCACAATTCATACTATAGCAAGCACCCCGTTTGTGTTTGAAATGGTTATTGTACGTATTTACTTGTCGCCAATGGTTGCTTTAACATGAGTCGGTTGTGAAGCTCTGCTATGACACTCAGACCCAGACTCAGACATATTGAGAGAACTCAGACCCTCGTTCACTTTCTCAACGGCACCAGTCCTTTGATACTATCTAAAAACGCAGTTTATCATTTGCTTAAATGTCCGGCTTCCACGTTACCATCATCACCACAGCGAGTGAATCAACTAGACTTGTATCAAAGAGATCCTTGACTAGGACAACAACTTTTATTAGGTTGGGGGAAAGTTTTGTCACATTTTCTACTAACAAGCTCTTTTAATGTACAGAAGCACACAAGATTAAATATATCCACCATCGTTGTCGACTACTTCTTGTCAACGTTCAGGCAGCTTATAGATGCGATCCCTGCAAAATGCAGGCTGGCGCGAGGCAAAATACGACGTTAACCCTGTCTCTACCTGAGCGCGAGTTCTGAAGCTTTTTTTTCCATCTAAGTGACAAGTTAAATTGGGGAACAACCGGAAGGAGCGATGTCTGGGCTATACGGAGGATGAAAGAGTACTGTCCATCTATAAGGCACGTGCTCCGACTTCACCTCTTTTGCAACTCCCTCGAAGAACCTCCTCGAGTAGACCTTCGAACTTCTTCTACCCTCTGGTCGACGATTCGCATCAAATCTCGGAGCTGCTGCGTGTAGAGATTGGCAGTAACAGTAGCTCCCTCATACAGCACTTGCCAAAGTACTGGCCCATGTGCATACCACCAGATTGATAGCATAACCTTGGGGTGAACATATTGAGAATCTCTCTTGGCGTTTCTCCTGTTTATCTGGACTGACCCACTGTGCTTTCCTGTGGAAATTGTTGTAGTTGATCCAGCTTTCGTCACCATGATGAGATATTCCAGCCATCTATTTCCTTTGTGCAAACTGAGCAGAGTCAGTCAGTCGTTCTAATAATGAAGCTATGGATGCTAAATT